ATCTTGTTTATTTCCTCTTATCTCCATGGGTAAGTGGAACAGAATTCTTCTTCTAAGCCATGTGTGTCATAAGAGGCCACTAACATGCCAGGAGCAAGGGGCTAGTAACCCCTTCTCCTGTATACATTACTAAATTTAAAAAGAGAAAGTTATATATTTCTTTTTAGGTCACTGTCTCAGTGGATCATACCTGGAGTGGGTTTCGGGGGTCAATGCCCCCGCGGCCCGGTCTGAGACCGGGCCTCATGGTGGATCAGGGTCTGATCAACCAGGCTTTTACTGCTGGCCGCACACAAGCTGACGTATGAACCACAGCCCAGCTGGTCAGGTACTGTCTTTAGGTGCCTGTCCAGTGCCTTCTTGAAGACAGCCAGGGGTTTATTGGTAATTCCCCTTATGTATGCTGGGAGGCAATTGAACAGTCTTTGGCCCTAGACACTTATTGTGTTGCCTCTCACTGTACTCGTGGTACCCTTGCTTTTCAGTGGGGGAATGTTGCATCTCCTGCCAAGTCTTTTGCTTTCATATGGAGTGATTTTTGTGTGCAGGTTTGGTACCTTCCAAACCTTATCGTGTATCTCTTGCACCTGAGTTTGAGGGAATACAGATCAAGGACCTTCAATTGTTCCCAGTAGTTTAGGTGCCTTATCGCACTTGTGTGTGCCATGAAAGTTCTTTGTACACTCTCCAGGTCTGCAATGTCACCAGCCTTGAAGGGGGCCATTAATGTACAGCAGTATTCCAGCCTAGAGAGCACAAGCGATTTGGAAGAGAATCATCATGGGCTTGGCGTCCCTAGTTTTGAAGGTTCTCATTATCCATCCTATCATTTTCCTAGCGGATGAGGTAGATACATTGTTGTGATCTTTAAAGGTGAGATCCTCTGACATTATCACTCCCAGGCTCTTCACATTACTTTTCTGCTCTATTGTATGGTTAGAATTTGTGGTATACCCTGACACATTTTTAATTTCTTCAAGTTTTCCGTATTTGAGTAGTTGAAATTTCTCCTCATTGAACTTCATATTGTTTTGAGTGGCCCATTCGAAGATTTGGTTGATGTCTGCTTGGAGTCTCGCAGTGTCTTTGATGGAGGTCACTGCCATGGTGATCCGGGTGTCATCCGCAAAGGAAGACACGGAGCTGTGGCTTACATCTCTGTCAGAAATGAGGATGAGGAAGAGAATGGGAGTGAGTACTGTGCCTTGTGGAATAGCACTTTTTACCATGGCTGCCTGGGACTTTACTCTGTTTACTATTACTCTGTGTTCTATTTGTCAGGAAGTTGTAGATCCATCTACCAACTTTTCCTGTTATTCCTTTATCCCTCATTTCGTGTGCTATTACACCATGGTCACACTTGTCAAAAGCTTTTGCAAAGTCTGTGTATACTACATCTGTATTTTATTTATCCTCTACAGCATGCAGGACCTTGTCATAGTGGTTCAGTAGCTGGGACAGGCAGGAGCGACCTGCTCTAAACCCATGTCGTCCTGGGTTGTGTAACTGATGGGTATCTAGGTGGTTGGCTATCTTGCTTCTTAGAACCCTCTCAAAGATTTTTATGATACGGGATGTTAGTGCTATCAGTCTGTAGTTCTTTGCAATTGCTTTACTGCCACCTTTGTGGAGTGGGGCTATGTCCGTTGTTTTTAGTGTGTGTGGGATGACTCTTGTGTCCATGCTCCCTCTCCATAAAATGCTGAAGGCACGCGATAAGGACTTCTTGCAGTTCTTGACGAACACGGAGTTCCAAGAGTCTGGGCCTGGGGCAGAGTGCATGAGCATGTCATTAATTGCCTCTTCAAAATCTTTTGGAGTTATAATAATATCCGAGAGTTTTTCGATGACCAAATTTTGGGTTTCATTCATGAAGAATTCATTTGGATTGTCGACCCTTAGAGTGGGCATTGGATCGCTGAACACTGAGTCATATTGGGACTTTAGTATCTCACTTATTTCTTAGCTATCATCTGTGTATGTCCCATCCTGCCTAAGCAGGGGTCCAATACTGGATGTTGTTTTTCCCTTAGATCTGGCATAAGAGAAGAAGTATTTTGTTTTTTGTTTTCAATTTCCTTTATGGCTTTTAGTTCTTCCTGTGATTCTTGTCTCCTATAAGATTCCTTCAGCTTAAGTTCGATATTTGCAATTTCATTGAATTTCATTGAATAGTGCCTCCCTTCATATTTCAGATATTGACCCCACTCAGCAGCTTTATGGCTCTTCGCCTTTGTCTGTATAGGGAACGTCTTTCTCTTTCTAGTTTACATCCTCCCTTTCTTTTTCTTAATAGAATGTGTCTTGAGCAGATCTCAAGAACCACAGAATTAACTTTTTCAAGTCAGATGTCTGGGTCCGTGTTGTTTAGGATATCTTCCCAGATTGTTTCATTTAGGACATGGTTTACTTGGTCCCATTGTATGTTTTTGTTATTGAAATTGAATTTCGTGAAGAGACCTTCATGACTGCTCACATTTTGCTGGTCCGGAGCCTTGTACATACATGTCTGTACTTCTGTTATGTTGTGATCTGAGTGAATTGTCCGTGATACAGTTATATTACATATCAGATCATCATTGTTAGTGAAGATGAGGTCCAGCGTATTTTCTAGTCTTGTAGGTTCAACTATTTGCTGGTGAATTTGTTGCAGAGATTTAGTAGTTCATGTGTGTGTGTGTGTGTGTGTGTGTGAATTTTCATCTGAGCTGCCTCCCGGAGTGATCTCTGCTAAAACATTGTTTGCTATACTGTTTCATTTTAGGTGTCTCAGGTTGAAATCTCCTTGTAGTAAGATGTTTGGGGCAGGAGTTGCAAGATTTTCCAGACAGTGGTTAATTTTCTCAAGCTGCTCCTCGAATTTCTGGGAAGTTGTATCTGGAGGCTTGTGTACTACCACAACGACAAGGTTTTGGTTTTCTATCTTTACCGCCAAAACTACATCATTTGAGGCATTTAGTAGTTCTGTGCAAATGAGCGACTCTGTGACATACAGGCCAACCCCCCCTTGTTGCCTGTTTAGTCTGTCGCATCGGAATAGGTTATGACCTGGGATCCATATTTCGTTGCCAAAATGATCCTTTATGTGGGTCGCTGTGAATGCTGCAAACATTGCATTTGACTTCGTGAGCAGTCCCTTGATGTAAGGAATTTTGTTGTTTTTTGACGGCTTTAGACCCTGTATGTTTGCAAAGACAAATGTCGTATTTGTGGAATTTGGGGGGGGGGGGTTATTTGCTGACTCTAATATCTGTTGTTCTGGGGTAGAGGCCAATGTCCATGCCTCTGCTCCAGAAGTGTTTTCAGGTGGTGTAGGATTATTGTCATTTCTTGCCAGTCTTTTTTCCCTTCTGGTCCTAAAAAACCTCTGTCCCTGGAGAGGTTGTTGGTCCTCTCTTTTGTTTCCCATAGTCTGTCTGGTCTGTGTCTTCTAGTCCCCTCTAGATGATATGCCTGGCAATATGCATTGTAGCATTTTCTTTCATGGATTGATGAGTGACACATTTTTGGGTGAAATAGGTTGCAAGAAAGGAAGTTGCGCTCTTCTGTTGTCACGTGGGTGCAGCATTTTATGGGATGGTCAAAGGTGCATGTCCCACCTGTTTTACCAGATAAACCATGCCTGCAGATACCCAAGGCATATAGTATTTACATAGATTGTTCTTCTGTTTGCTAGGATTTATTGTAGCTGCATTCACTGCTAGTGCATTTATTTTTCCTGTTTCCTCAATATTTTTTACCCCTGTGTGGACATCAATGCTTCCACCAGGTTTTGCTGGTAGTGTGTTGACACTGTTCACTGAGGCCTCATCCCATTTTGATCCATCTCCTGCAGGATCTCTATTTTGAACCTCTGTGGATTGAATAAGGTTGTCTTCAGTGCCTCCAGGTCAACACTAGTACCATCTTGAGCTCTATCTTCTAAGACATCACTAGGACCCAATGGAGCACTTTCCTCCAGGACAACACTAGCACCCTCAGCACTGTCCTCCAAGACAGCACTAGCACCCTCAGGAGCACTGTCCAAGACAGCCCTGTCCTCCAAGACAGCACTAGCACCCTCAGGAGCACTGTCCAAGACAGCCCTGTCCCTCCCACCCATCTTTTTTCCCCAGCTGTCATACCATGCTGACATGTCTTTCAAGAAGGATGTTTTATTGGTGTTCTTGTCTTTTAATATAGATGTCATTTCCTCATACAGGTGTATCTCATTTGGGCAGACCCAAAAACAACTCTCTGAGTTTGTCAAGTGTGGTCACTAGTTTAAAATCCCTGCATATACTATGTGACCACTAACCACACAGATGGCAGGCAATCCAGGCCTGTCTTCATCCCTTACCCTTTCTGCAGACTACGCAGATCTTCATGGTAGTGTTCATCTTAGCAATATTAGACAACTCTCCTAGCTAGCTAGTCTATAATTCCCTGATGTATTTAATTTTTTGTAACAGTTCTTCCAATTTGGCTTTATTTCCAGTGAAACCATTTGAATCTGCCCAAATCTGGCTTTATTTCCATAAAGAGTGTTTGAATCCACCCGAATCCAGTGAAATTCATTTGAATTCGCCCAAATCCAGCAAATCCGGTAATCCAGCTAGTGAATCTCTGTATATATTTTTCCTAATAAACACCTTAACAGTAGATCTGTTTATCTGTATTGTAACAGTTTGTTGTAGTTACTGTTTGAGTGTTTAATAAGGCGTGTAGAGCCCTGTCAATTAGGGAAACCTGTCAGAGGATACATTGTTATCAATGAATCCGTTTGAATCCGGTTGTTGGATGAATCCGGGCAGATCCGGATTAGCTCACGGTGATGTTAGACTACTTCATGAAAGAACTACTGGAAAAAAAATTAAACAGTAATGTGTGTTCATGGCTGGTTTGATGAAAAAAATATTATATTTAACATTAACAGTGATGATAAGAATAATAATAAAAATAATTTGCAGTCAGGAGCAACTTTCACATAAAAATATCAATAACTATGTATTCTATTTCAGGCCTTTGTCAATCGCTTTTCTGAAATTGTGGAATTTGAGTGTAGATCATCTGGCATCACTGTACAGACTCTTGTTCCTTGTACAGTTTGGACAAATATGAATAATTTTGATCCTGCTATACACAAAGAAGGTAAGAGTGTACACTACAGGAAGTCAGTGTCCCTGAAAATTATGTTTTATGTGATATCGTGTTAACCCTTTCAGGGTTGAGACCCTCGATCCTTGACCCTTTGAGGGTCGAGAGCCCCTATCCTAAACTCTTTCTCATGGTCGAAAAATATTCGAAAAAAAAAAATTCTCATGAAATGATAGAGAATCTTTTTGCGAGTGTTATTGGACAAAAAAAAAAATTGCAATCAGTACTTATTGAGATACAGAAGTGTGAGGTTGACAGAAAGTGAACCGCTTATGGCAACATTGCTGACTGCCAGTCACTCGGTGATATTATATTTACTTTTATTCTTTTTTCTTTTATTTTTTAACCTTTAAACTGTCCAAACATAGATCTACGTTTTTTCAACATTTGAAAGTATGTAAAAAAACGTAGAGCTTCTTTTTCTTTTTTTACATTTGAAAATGTGTAAAAAACTTTGATCTACATTTTTTTTTTTGTTATATTTGAAAGTATGTTAAACAACGTAGATCTACTTTTGGAGCACTACGCATGAACGTAGATCTGTTTGGACAGTTTAAAGGTTAATATTTTATGGCCTGTGAGACCAATATAAGGCATATTGTATATATATTCACTCGTTGTATGCTACACAATAACCACACAAACATTGACAGGTAAACATTATCACTTACCTTAGTCATATACTATTGTCTAGAAATACACATGTACAGTGGAACCTCGGCTTATGAGTTTAATCTATTCCCTGACCTTGCTCATATCCCAATCTGTTCATATGCTGAGTCAATTTTCCTCATTTAAATTAATTGAAATGCTGTTAATCCTTTCCAGCGGAATTCCTGTTCTCAGGAGGCAGTTCAAAATACTTGAATATGACACTAATATCAACTCTATGGCTTATTTATTTATCACAATTTGTCTGAAATGACATAATAAACTATATAAATAACATGGAAACCTGATATATACTCTAGAATGAATAAAATATGTCATTATGTGACAAGTGGTGGTGGCCATTCCTGCACACCTGCTTGTGTTAATCTATGATTTCACCGCAAGGTGTACTGCCGTTCCCCAACACTCCCAACACCATCATGCGAGCTTTCGTGAATACATGTTCAGTTCCACTTCTCTCCTACAAGCTAGCTGTGTTTCTGAATTGTGTTTTGACCTACTAACTGACTGACTGACTCACTTAATTGAATTACTTACTGAATTGACTGACTGACTGACTTAACTGACTTGATTGAATGACTTACTGACTTGGGAGGGAATGGAAGGTATAGTGGATCCTCGACTTACGACGTTAATCCGTTTCAGAGAGCTCATCGTTAGACAAAATTATCATAAGTTGAATTAATTTTCCCCATGAGAAATAATGGGAATCAAATTAATCCATTCCAGAAACCCAAAAGTATGAAAAAAAAAATTTTTTACCACATGAAATATACATTTTCCTATTCACAGAAGAAGGATACATGCACAATATACAGTGGACCCTCGCATAACGTTGGCATCACATAACGTTAAATCCGCATAGCAATACATTTTATCGCTAAAATTTTGCTTCACATAGCGCTAAAAAACTCGCTTAACGTTATTCGTCCGAGACGTGTCTATGTGTGGCCTGAGCCAGCCTCACATGTTCCGCCGGTGGCATTGTTTACAAGCCAGCCTCCGCGGTAGCATCCAAGCATACAATCGGAACATTTCGTATTATTACAGCATTTTTGGTAATTTCATCTGCAAAATAAGTGACCATGGGCCCCAAGAAAGCTTCTAGTGCCAACCCTACAGGAATAAGGGTGAGAATTACTATAGAGATGAAGAAAGAGATCATTGTTCTATTTTACCCTGCAGTATATTATCCCTTACACTGTCAAAACGTAGATCTACGCTCACTCGCGTAGTGCTCTGGACATAGATATACGTTTTTTCACATGCTTTCTTATGGAGAAAATCAAGGTCGGAGCACTCCACGCAAAAATGTAGATCTACGTTTGGACAGTTGAAGGGTTATACAACTGACAGTAAGGCATCAGCTGCCTTACCATCAGTTGTATAACTCTTCAGGGTCGGTCAGTCGGTTAAAACCCTTTCAGGGTCCAGAGGCCAAATCTCAAAGGGTGTGCCAGGGTCAAAGAATTTTTGAACAAAAAAAAAAAAAAAATTCTTACAGAAGTAAAGTTTAATAATTTTCTGTAGGTAATAAAAGAAAATTTTTCGATCAGTAGTTACCGAGATAGAAAGGCGTGAAGTTGACCCTTAATGACCTGGTGGCAGCAACATCCACAACTTCAGCAAAGTCGCATTATTTTATTTTATTTTTTTGTTACTTTTTTTTATTTTTTTAGCACACTGGCTGATTCCCACCAAGGCAGGGTGGCCCGAAAAAGAAAAACTTTCACCATCATTCACTCCATCACTGTCTTGCCAGAAGTCTCTTCTCAAAAATCACTTACTCATCCATAACTAAATAAATAATGAATAATTGTATCTCATAAATTGTATCTCATATATGTATCTCATTATTGTATCTCATAAATGTCAACCTGTTACCCAATCAAACTTTGTTACTATTTAACTTCATTACCTAACAGAATACTCCATTCTACTGATTACACAGCAACACAGTAAATCACCATATGACCTGTCTTTGTAATACTCATTTGTACTAAATTGTTATCTGTTTTACAATAATTTTTGTACCACTGAATATATCATTGCTTAGTTAATCAGTTAACCAGAGGTGTGCTTGTACATGCATGTGTAGTGTGACCTAAGTGTAAAGAGAAGTAGCAAGATGTACCTGAAATCTTGCATGTTTATGAGACAGAAAAAAAGAGACCAGCAATCCTACAGACATTTTTCTTAACAAACATTTTTCTTAACAAAATACTTAAGACTATACAACAAACATTGTCCTATAAAAACGAAACAGATCACGAATAAACGGCTTGGTTGCCCATGGCTAACCAGCAGCATTCTGAAATCCATTGATAAGAAACACCAATATGAAAAGCAATATAGACAGGGCTTAATACACAAAGATATTCTTAAACAATATTCAACAGTTCTCATCAAATTAATAAAGAAAGCCAAACAACTGTACTACTCCAGCAGATTCACTGACACAAGAGGAGATATAAAAAAGACCTGGAAAACACTTTCCCAGAAACTGAAAAAAACCAAGAATATTGTTCTAACTAAACCTCATGAAACACCACTGCATCCCACTGATACAGCTAACAAGATAAACGACTTCTTCTCAAACATAGGATCTAATCTCGCCAGTAAAATCCCACGTACCAATGCCCGTGCCGGGGACTACCTAGATGGGAATTTCCCAAGTTCCTATCTTGTACCAACTGAGCCCACGGAAGTCACTGCGATCATAAAGTCACTTAAAAATAACTCGGGGAATCTGTCTCACGTCCCACCATTATTGTACAAGCGAGCGGCCCATGTCCTTTTGCATGCTATTACATTACTTTTTAACAAGTCACTAGAAACTAGCACTTTCCCGACACTACTCAAGACAGCAAGGGTTACACCAATACATAGAGGTGGTGACTCTACAGACATAAACAACTATAGGCCAATATCAAACTTACCATTGCTATCCAAAATCTTCGAGAAACTCGTGCACAGGAGACTATATTCATTTATAACGTCACAAAACATACTCAACACCTGCCAATTTGGATTCAGGAAAAATAAAAGCACTAATGATGCAATTATAAAAATGCTAGACCTGCTTTACACAGCACTGGAAAATAAGGAATATCCACTAGAAATTTTTATTGACCTAAGAAAAGCGTTTGACACAGTAGACCACGACATCCTACTCCACAAACTTGACCACTATGGTATAAGAGGCCATGCGCTTGCAAATTTTAAATCCTACCTTTCTAATAGGTATCAGTATGTCACCATTAAAGACACAGCCTCATCAATACGGCCACTTGATACTGGAGTTCCACAGGGAAGTGTCCTTGGGCCCCTGCTTTTCCTCATTTACATCAATGATCTTCCAAACATATCCCAACACCTGAAACCCATTCTCTTTGCTGATGACACGACTTATGTCATCTCCCACCCTAATCTTGCCACCCTCAACACCATTGTTAATGAGGAGCTGCTCAAAATATCGACTTGGATGACAGCCAATAAACTTACACTTAACACCGGCAAAACCTACTATATTATGTTTGGTAGCAGAGCAGGTGTTGCGCAACTTAACATTAAGATCGACAACACTCTAATTGCCAGACATAATGAGGGCAAATTCCTTGGCCTATACCTCGACAACAACCTAAATTTCAGCACCCATATCCAACACATAACAAAAAAAAAGTATCCAAAATGGTGGGGATCCTCTCCAAGATACGATACTACGTGCCGCAAACTGCCCTTCTCACACTATACCATTCACTTATATATCCATACCTCACCTATGCTATCTGTGCTTGGGGTTCAACTGCAGCAACACACCTAAAGCCAATAATAACCCAACAAAAAGCCGCAGTAAGAATAATCACTAAATCCCATCCCTGGCAACACACCCCCCTACTCTTCATAGATCTAAACTTACTCCCTGTTCAGAACATCCACACTTACTACTGTGCAATCTATATCTACAGGACCTTAAATTCCAATATTAACCTTGACCTAAAATGCTTTCTTGATAGTTGTGACAGGATCCACAGGCATAACACCAGACACAAACATCTCTATGACATTCCCCGTGTTCGACTAAACCTTTACAAAAATTCCATGTATTTCAAAGGACCTAAAATCTGGACCACCCTACCTGAAAACTCTACAACTGCAGACACATTCATCACTTTCAAAACTACAATTAGAAAACATTTTATCTCAGTGATCCACCCTGACAACTAACTACATGATAACCACTTGGTGGTTCAAAATTACACTCACTCACCCACTGACTGTAAACCCAGAATACTAATCTTACTCTTAAAATAATAAATCCT